TGAGACGTTTATTTTCTAAACATGATGTCCCAGTGGCTTTCAAACCCCAAAACACATTACGGCAAAAGGCTGGTTCACCCCAAAGATCCGGTGCCCCGGCACAAACAGAGCAATATTGTATATGCTGTTAAGTGCCAGGAGGACTGCGACCAGTTATACATCGGGGAAACAAAGCAGCCACTGTTCAAAAGAATGTCCCAACACAGACGAGCTAATTCTAATGGCCAGAACTCTGCAGTTTTCACTCATTTACAGGCCAGAGGTCACTCTTTCAGAGATGAGGATGTTCTCATTCTTGATAGAGAGGAACGTTGGTTTGAGAGAGGAGTAAAAGAAGCCATTTTTGCAAAGAAAGACCGTCCATCATTAAACAGAGGTGGAGGCCTCTGTTTTCAGTTGTCCCCCTCCTACAGTGCTGCTATTGCCAGTATCACTCCACCCCTGTTAACAATAAGTGTTAATTAGGTGTCAACGATAGCCATGTGATGTGAGTATCAGTCACATGGAGGCAGGGCTTAAAAGCCTGAATTTTGCCTGAAACTCTCAGACTGAAGAAGTCTCTTGGAGGAGAGACAAAACGTTTCATTAAAGAAGAACCCGTCCAGAAGACCTATACAATTTTTTTTCTTTTTGGAAGATACTAGTAGTTTCCTGTTCACCATGCTTTTGTTTCCCATCACAAATGTACCCAGAATGCATCGCTTCAGTTTTCCAATAAACAGTGTTTTAAAATTACTTTATTGATGCTTCTTTAATGAAAAATCTACAACAAATGAAAAAGACAAAGRATCAGCCAAAAATAATAGCAATCCTCAGCAACTTTTTAAAGAATCAGCCTAACTAGCAATGCTGAACAACTTTTCGATTTTTACACCATGAGCCAAAGGTATGTTTAAGGAAATCAGACCCCCATCATTCTGCGGTTGTAAAACGAGCTGTCCAAGGGCTCATACACCACTAGTGTGCAGCATTGTACAAATATTRTACATGAATTGTAACCAGCTAGAAAGYGCCAAACTGAACCTGCATTTTAAAATTAGCGTCCGCTAATGTTTCTATGCAATAAGTGCTTTTGAAGTTGCGGACCAATATATTTTCATAAGCGCTTTAGAAATTACGGTGCTAATTTTAGAATTAGCGCTGTCCACCACTGTCTGCGGGAATAAACATTTCTTGAAAGTTTCATACAAATCCGTTTGGTAATTTCTGAGGTAGCCTAAGAAGGGAAACCAAGTAAACATCTGGGAAGCGTGAGCAGTTGTTCAGTAGATAAGGAAGGAGCGTTTTCTGCTCACCAAAATAAATCCTACAACACCAAAATGTTTCAAATTTGAGTATGTTGTAATAACGTTCATTTAATGGGCTGATAACATTTGATGCAGGTAAAAAGACGTGCATATTTTCTGCGCACAAAATGGCGTATTAAAATTTAATAGTAATCTGTCTATGTTCTTAAGGGAACAACAACAATCTATACCCCTGTACCTGTGTAAATATAGCACAAATGTCTACTTATTCCAAACAATTAATAGTGTAAACAAACAGATTTACCTGGATTATTTTAAGGAAACAGAATGAGACCTTTATCAATAAAACCTCCATTGAATTCCCCCAATGCTTGGAATTCCTGAAACACATCTCGCCAGTTGTTCGCATTCTGTCTTCTATAGATCCCCCACCAGCTTTCAACCCTTTGGTTAGATGTACTGTGTCCTTGCAACACACACGGTCTGTGATGGGCCCCAGCGTCATCTACTCACAGGAACTGTTGCAGCCTGTTTACATGAACAATTTCCGTTCCAAAATCACATCTTATGATATTTGGACAACCCCCTACTTCTATGACAGTGCTTAAAAAGTAGGATGCGGTTATTCTGGGATTACTGTTTGATGATTTTGCCTGCATCCACATGATATGACGTGAAAATACGTCTATGCACCCGTTTATCCCAATGCCAAAAGGAGTCAGCTTGTCATAAGAGTCCATATGCCACTTGTAGTTTGGTCCAGGAACACTATAAAACTTGTCTCCGAAGTCGTGTCCCTCGCCGTAATTGTACACCCTCTGGGTCAAGGCAGGAYTGAACCTCATAAACAAGGTCTCTAGTGACACGCAGATCTGCTGCTCGGCACCTCTCGTGCATCATCCGGTATCCATGGACGGCCTGGTCCCCTCAGTTGGTCACTGATTAGGTTTACTTTAACCACAGGATCACTGAAGTGTAAACACCTGTTGAGCTACAGTCGGGCCGTCTCCTTAAAGGACGAAGGCTGATATTAAAGTTATCTCTACAAGATAAACAAACTGCAAATTCAGCCTGTGTTAGACCTCGACAGAACAGTCATTGTTATCTCATGATAAGGACATATGTCGCTATCACGAGAATTCCATGAAAAATCATTATTAGAGGAAAATGGCCGCTCTCGGCTTCCGTAGCTAAATGATGAAATACTAAGATTTTATTTGTTAATTGCTAACTTTTATAGATAGAGGGACAAATGTCTGGTGTCAGGTGAACTAGCTTCTCCCTGAGTTCAGCAGGTGGATTCTGTTGGTCAGACATGACATTTAATGTTGTTTGTCTATGAAATGACTGCTAGGCCAAGAAATGTCTGGAAGTTAAAATCAGTATGACCCATAATTTTAACTCCTGTTCTTAATAAATGGKGAATCTGAGTTTTACATTTGAAAAATCTAAAATAATTTGGAGGTATTATGTGTCAAATCTGTTTTAATATTGTTTCACATCAGAATATCACTGCTTTTACTTCGAGGAAAATAAAATTACAATGTAATTAATTGATTTATACATTTGAGTTGTTGATTCATGATTGAAATACAGTGATATAAACTAAATAAATGTATTTAAAAGGTGACCATTCTTTGCACTACTTGGTTTATTTATGACGATAACTGCTGGATGTCCGACCCCTGAGCTGTTGGCTTTCAGTAATTCTGCCTCCCTGAAGAGTTTAGTTGAATAGTCCTGGCATGTRGGTTATGAACATTGTCAAAAGTTGTGCTCCTAAGGAATCAAGTCTGAGGAGCAGAGTTGTTTCCATTAGTTTTACAGTAAGTGTCCCATTAAAACAGCCACTGCTTACATGAAAGTCTGGCTCCGCCCCTGCTTTCAGTGCAGGTTTTTTTTTTTTTTTTACCAGAGGTCTTGACCTTCACCACGCCTTGTTGTGTGCACTAATTCTGTGTCCAATACCATGGAAACAAGATTTCAGACGAAAGTCCCTATGTGCTTAACTAGAACCCCGAGGGAGTTTTAGTTGCAGCTCCGTTTCCAAGACATTTTTTTCCTTCACTGTTTGTTGAAGACCACAGATACAGTCAAAACAATCAATTCTTTATTTTATTTGTATTTATTTATTTTTTTTTTATTTTTGGAGCATTGTGGTTTGCTAGATAAAAACATGAGTTTCTTTTGAACAGTGTGACAGCAGCTTCTGATGCCCTTCCTCTGCCTGTAGGGGGCAGCTTTGCTGTGGAAATGTAACTAAAGCGTTCTAATACAGAGACAAACACTGGGAGTTGTTGTATGGTTTAAAAAAATATTTAATTTTTATTATTTAACCAGGCAGGTTATGACCAATTTCTTATTTTCACCTGTGGCCTGGCAAAAGGCAAAGTCCAAAACATCCTCTTTCATACTAATGGAAGATTTTAAGTGTCAGAACTTGACCAAACTAGAAATTTCTGTTCAAAATTTGACAATTTCAGTTTAGCTGCTGCCAAAAAATCCAAACCTTTAACTTTTTCAAAGATTAAAAAAACTTAAAATATCAATGTAGAAACTGTAAAACCGTAAAAAGAACCAAAATTTAAAAAAAAACTGAAAAGTAAACCTCAGTCAGTCGCTGTTTGAAATGTTATTAATGATGGGATATGATAATAATTTTCACTTGCAACCATTTTCTTAAAATTGTTTGTTTTTTACATTTTGTTTTTCATTAATAATTCTAAGAGATTCTGCTTCTCTAAAATACTATTTTAGATGTAATACTGACGTGTTGACAGTAAATTAGGATCATTGCTGATGTCTTTCTTTCTTGGCAGCATGTTAACTCACAACTCTATGCTCTAAAGCAGCAAACTGACAAAACTGCTTTTAAAGATCACTTCATCAGTGTTTTTAATTAGCAACATCTGCTTCTAATTTCAGGTCAGAGCAAAAACAATTACCTTAATTTTTTCATTAACTGTTTTAGCAATAAAATTATCAAGTCTCCAATTGGATAGCATGTAAAAAGTATCAGTACTTTATTAAACGTACTGTATAAAAACGTACTGCATTGATTTTAATTAACCTCTCAGGAAGTATTCACGAGATATAAATCTACAAAATAATACATTTTTGAGCCAGTCCAGTCCAACTTGACCTTATAGAAAACCCAAAAACTGGTTCAAATTTGATGTGGTGATAGCTAAGAGTTGAGAACAACACACACTTTGAGTGTGGTGTCTCAATACCAAAATATCTAATACACAGAGGTGTGTAAAGTAACAAAGTACAAGTTTATTTTACTTAAATTTTGGCTATATATTTACTTGAGTAATTGTTTTTCAGCCATCTTTTTACTCCATACATTTTCACACAATTTTCTATATGTTTACATATGTGTACATTTTTTTTAATGTAAGGAGTAGTCCTTATGTTAAAAAAATGTCATTACTCCTATTTCATTTTGGCTTGTTATTGATCAAATATTGATTCATCACAAGTTTGCCTGACACAAAACATCTCACTGCAGCAGAACATCAGACATGTAATCTGTATGAAGAAGAGTGTGCAACTGAAGCAGGTCTTAAAGTTTTCAGCATTACCATTTTATCATTATAGTCATTATGACCTTCAGGTTTTTGGGAGGGAGGCTGGGTTGGGGGGGGGGGTATTCCTGTAATTTAGAAAATTTTAACGAATCACATTTTGCAATACTTTTAATTTTCATAAATACTATAAGTACAACTTAAGTCAGAAATTTCCTTTTTGTATKTCAGTACAAAAATAACTGTGAAATACTTTAAAGGAGAAGCTAATAGCTGAAAGAAAAGCATAAAATAAGCTTCTTGAGAAATTTTCTCATCTCAAAAATTTTACTTTTACTTTACTTCTACTCTCGTAATATTCATAAAGCACACTAACTTTTACCAAAGTAATTTTATGRTAAGATACTTGTATTGTTTTATACAAAACTGCTTAATGAATAAAGTTATTTTCAAGGTTTGACCAAAAAGGTGGCGGGCGATAAGCATTTCTCCAAGGAAGAGGCTTTGGTCAGACTCTCTCCCTTCTCCCCGTCGGTCTGTGACGTCATCGGACGTGGCCCCGCCTTCTCCGGTCCTCCTCAGCGCTCTCTCCCACTGCCTGCCTGTTTATGTCAGGCTTTAGTGTCCGTTCACCAGGAACAGGACAGGGAACTGGAGAAATAAAGCCAACAGCGAACCGGTGCGTGTGGTTCTCCTGAAGGTAAGAAAGAGCTGCTTCATTGTTTATTCTCGGCCCGGTCTGGACGGGTTTCCTCCTCCTTCTCCTCCTCCTCCTGCTCGGGCTTTTATCCACCTTTGCTTCCTGGAAGCTGCTGACTGATTGGCAGGAGGAGAAAGGCGAGCACCTGCAGAGGCTTCTTTCTTCCACACTCCGACGGAAGAAGAAGAAAAGAGGCAGATTGTTGCTGCTGGGGCGCACTGTGCGCGTTGGAAGGTGGTGGGAGTTATTAGTTGGTGGTTGTGATGGGTGGATGGGGGGTTGGGCCGGTCCGTCCTGCGGCAGCCAGCAGATCCTACTCATCATCATCATCATCATCATCATCATCATCATCATCATCATCATCATCATTCAGGAAGTGTGATGGAGAGAGATGCTCTCACTGCCCCGGCGCGCGCTCAGCACGAGCTTTAGGTGGTGTGCGTGTCTTTGTGCGGTCGATGGGTGGTTGCTAAGGAATGACCATCACCCGCGCGCTGGAACAATCRGAGCCGCGTGCCCAACATGTGAACTGCACTGCCTGTCTCTGCTCCATTCACTCAGACAAGGTTTCTGTTCATCATGAGAGAAATCCTGCTTTCAGACAACTCCATACTGGCACTGAATTAATTTTATYGTATTAAAAATATCTTATCATTTTATAATATTTTATATTAACATTTTGCTAATACCTGCAGTAATGGTTCTGATTTCCTTTTTTATTCTGATACAGAATAAAACTCGGGCTGGTATCATCCTTACTGATCCGATACAGATACTTTGCGCAAATACGTCTAATGGATCTGGTAAATTAAAAAAAGCAGTGTATTTAAATCACTGCTTCATAAAGAATACATCAGAGTCATTTATTTATTCATTTTAAACTCAAATATTTTGATGTAACATCCTCATTTACAATAACCGAGCTAATACACCAGAAAAACCAGAAGACACAATCATACAGAATATATGAAAACTTGTTTTAAACAATAAAAATGAAGTAAAATAATAAAACTGTTAAAATAAACAACTGTTTAATTTTTTGAGAATTACCTGAAATGAAAATGTGTGTCTTAATTTACATTGCATGAACATGTTAACATGAAAATATTGAACACGGGACTGAGCTTGTGCACTATTACCCAGGCAGTAGTGCTGGGCGGTATACCGTTTTGTACCGAATACCGGTTTTTATTTTTTGTCATGATATGAATTTTCTGAATACCGGACATACTGGTTTAAATAGCCTGAAAACGTGCAGACTGTTTCGTCGCGGCCACCAGTGAACTGTTTCCCGGGTCGCAGCACCGCTATGTGCGTTAGCATGCTAATGTTACTGTTGAGCAGTTTGTTGCAGCGGTGGGTGGCGAGTCCGCTGCTTATATTGACTGACGTTAAAAAAACGTCCTGTTTTCACCATCGCTGAATGTAGTAAACACATTTTCAGTGATGTGCACGGTAAGATTTAACGCGAGTTTAGTTAATATGGAGACGTTATGCTGATGGAGACTTAACGTGATTCTACTGTGAAAAGCCTGCAGGAAGTAGTTTGTAGTAGAATTGCAATTGACTGATGAGCAAGGTGAGTCATGCTTATAAGCTTTTTTAAATAACATAAAACAGTAGACCCAATCATAATCTTTTCTTAAACTTCCTCCTTCATGACTGGACCAAAATGCGTGACTACTGTCTCCAACCACCAGTCRGAGAAAAGACATTTAGAGGAGGGAAACAGAGACACAGGTACAGTAAAAGAAAAAAGTCAATAAGCAGTGTTTGTACATTTTATTTTCAGCTGACCTGTGATGAAAAGAAAAATACCGTGATATACCATGAAACCGGTGTAAAAGTTGAAAATACYGTGATATAAAATTTTGGTCATACCGCCCAGCTCTACCAGGCAGAATAAAAAGTAGTTCCCACCAACCTCCTAAAAGGTTTCAATAGATTAGTTACTTTCCACTGTGTTCCTGTTAAAGATCTGAAAAGTTTTAAAGATCTGAAACATATCAAAGCATTGATATTTCGATTTTAGAATAAATTTTAGAGCATGCTAATCTGGTATCAGTTGTATTGATATTTCAGGATCAATCCACACATCACTATCTGCAGCCGCAACAATACTTCAATGGATTAAACACACACACACACACACACACACACACACACACACACACACACACACACACACACA